TCGAAGCTGCGGACGCTCAAGGACTATTATTCGGTGCCACCATTACAAAGTTCCTGGACGATTTACGGTCAGCATTCACTCCACCCGCTCATCAGAGCCAAGCTGCTAGGGCACTTATGACTATACGTCAGGGGGCACGTTGTTCTATGGATTACACCGTGTGAGGCGTGTTCTTTATAATGAGGAGAGAAGACTAATAAAAGGATATTTCAGTGTGAAATTTATTATGCATTAATGTATCAAAATTAGCATGTGCACATGGATCTTCACTGTTTAGGATAAACAGAAAAGTCTGTCCTCAACTTGTCAGTATACAATATTTGTATAAAAAGGCACTACTATCTAATTGGTCAAAAACTGTTGGGGAGAAGCCACGGTTTAAACTTAACTCTCCCATTATTGGTCCTTCAGTCCGTCCATCCTCCAATTGTCCTCTCTGCTCCAATGGTCGAGGACAGTGCCCTAGAAAGGGGAGGAATACCTATACTGCCTTAATTCCTACATACACATTCACTTCTTCCTTTGATTCCAACTATCTGATCCATTATAGGCATTGCCTTCTGTTTCACTAATTAAAACTGTTCTGCCTGTGTGTGTGCGTGTAATGGTTCTACCTTTGAAGTTTTCTCCTCTTCAAGTTCACTACAGCCCCCATACTCCTCCAACCCGATCCCTCGTGGCAGTTTGTGGTTGAGGTGGAAGCGAGTGTTCATAACATAGCATAAACAACAGTCTGCTGGGCATGCTTCTCAGGTTTAGGAAGCATTTGGTTGCCATCACCTGTGGACTACAAAATGCGTGTGCACGTGTTCGGCAACAGCCCGTCTTCGGCTGTAGCTACTTATGGACTAAGGAGAGCTGCACAACAAGGAGAAGGAAGGTACGGGACAGACACCTGTCAGTTTATTGAACGTGATTTCTATGTAGATGATGCCTTAAAATCCGTCCCCACCATACAGGAAGCTACCAATTTCTTAAAGAGAACGCAAGAAGTGCTGGCAGCCTCAAACCTTTGGCACCTGAAAATAGCATCAAACAAGGTTAAGGTCATGGACGCATTTCCAGTTGAAGACCAAGCCAAAGATCTTCAAGATTTGGATTTGTTCAAAGATAATCTCCTGGACCAATGTAGCTCTGGCTTAAAGTGGGACATAATGGCAGACTATTTTACGTTTCACGTACCTCACGCTGAAAAACCATATGGTGCAGTCTCATATCTTAAGAAAAAGAAGTTGGGTTTATCCTAGTCAAGGCAGAACTCGCTCCGCAGCCAGAGCTCACAGTCCCTAGGCTCGAACTCTGTGCCACAGTGATGGTGGTCAAAATGGCAGAGGTGATAAGCGAGGAGATTGACCATCCAATAGACAAAAGCAGTTTCTACACTGACAGCAAGGTGGTTCCAGGATATATCCAAAACCAATCAAGGCACTTCTGTGTCTATGTAAACAACCATGTCCGCTGCATCAAAGAGTCGACAACTCCAGAGCAGTGGCACTTTGTTACAACAGACCATAACCCCGCTGACCACGACTTATGGTCAGTGCCAGGCAATGAGTTACCAAACACGACTTGGTTCACAGGACCATGCTTTCTTCACAGCTCTCCAGACATCCAGCCAGAGCATCATGAACTGCAGGACCCAGACAATGACGCAGAGGTGCGCCCAGAGGTACAAACACTTATATTCTGGGCTCAGAACGCTGGGAGCATTTTTCCACATGGAGGTCACTAAGCAGGGCTGTGTCAAACATTAATCATGTTGCATAATGTTTCTCTCGTGCCAGAACAAACATGGATTGTACTGGATGGCACATCTGTAAAACAGCCATCACTCCCAAACTGGTAAAACAAGCAGAGACGGTAATTATCAGAGAGGTACAGCTTGAATCATATGCAGCTGAATTCAAATCTATCACTGAAAAACAGAAGCTCCCCAAAAACAGCCCACTAGTAAAGCTTAACCCCAACATTGGCAATGACGGACTACTGAGAGTAGGGGGTCGCATCACTCGCGCAGGGCTAGGGGTTAATGAAATGCACCCTATCATCCTACCAGGCATTCATTACATCACAAGTCTTCTAGTGTGGAATCATCATGAGAAGGTAAATCACCAAGGAAGACATTTTACAGAGGGTGCTGTCCGAGAAAGTGGTCTGTGGGTTGTATGGGCAAAAAGGTGTATCAGCAAGGTAATAAACAAGTGCATCACATGCAAAAACTTAAGAGGCAAGTGTGAAGAGCAAATAATGAGTGATCTGCCAGTAGACCGACTCCAAGCAGAGCCCCCCTTCTCATATGTTGGTATGGACATGTTTGGCCCATGGGAGGTAGCCACGAGGCGAACTAGAGGCAGGCAGGCAAATAGTAAACTGTGGGCCATACTTTTTACCTGCTTATGCACTAGAGCTGTCCACATTGAAGTAGTGGAGGAGATGAGTTCTTCAAGTTTCATCAATGCATTGAGGTGTTTCTTTGCGTTACGAGATCCCACAAAACAGCTACACTTGCATTGCGGCACTAACTTTACAGGTACACACAAGGAAATCACAGCAAATGAATCAGGTGCCGACAAGATACACTATCTACAGGATCAGAAGTGTACATGGCTATTCAATCCACCCCATTCGTCCCATATGGGGGGGGGGAGTATGGGAACGGATGATTGGAGTGGCACGCCGGATACTTGATAACATGCTGATGCAAGCTGGTCATGTCCAGCTCACCTATGAAGCTCTAACAACCTTCTTGGCAGAGGTTGTGGCCATAATAAATGCTCATCTGCTACTACCAGTGTCATCTGATCCAGAGTGTCCTCACATCTTGTTACCTGCAATGCTACTGACACAAAAGACCCAGGCTGTGGCCCCAGGCTGTGGTCCCAATCTGTGACGATATCAATCCCAAGGAGATGCTCAAAAGCCACTGGAAGCGTGTTCAACTCCTTGCAGACATTTCTGGAGCAGATGGCGCAAGGAGTATCTCAAAAGCCTTCAAGCCCGTCAGAAGTGTTATCACAAAAGAACTCTTATTAAACGAGGAGATTTGGTTCTCCTTAAGGACAAACCAACAAGAAGGAATGAGTGGCCGATGGGTGTAATAACACAGGCAGTTCCTAGTGAAGATGGTATCATTAGGAAGGCTGAAGTTAGAGTTGCCTCCCAAGGGAATGTTAAGACATATTATAGACCAATTCCAGAGATGGTTTTTCTGTTATCAAGTGATGTTTGAGTTCTATGTCGTCATGGTGTCCATAAGATACCGGGCGGGGAATGTTCTGGCTTGTATATGGCCTTAATTTAGTTATGTGCACTGGCCCTTTAAGTGAGACAGGAAGTGCACAACGAGGACATATATTGCAGTGCAGCAGTAAATAAGATAGCAAGAGTTAGCGGTGGTTGTGTTCATTGGACGCTTTCTAGTGAGTGTATGAAAGGCATGCTCTGTAAGTATTGCTGTAACAACAACACATGAGAACAAACATCAGATACAAAATAATAAGATCCAAATAGTTAACATTATTATAAGCTAATTATTTACAAGGGATTTAGCATATCCATGCATAGTTTATTAGTTGTGACGTAGCTAAGTCAAGTGCATTTTGATTAGCATTATCTGCTGGAAGCTGTGTTTTATGTATTTCCTTTCAGTTTACTTATGCATATATGGTATTGCTGTTACAGTTTCACACCTGCCATATAAAGAACAGTCTAAACCCATCCTGGCGTTCGTGACTAATTGTGTGGAGGTATTTAACTAACTGGATAGTGGAAAGGGTTTCTATGAGGCCAGAACAACTACAATACTGTAAGGCTGATGGATACTGATACTTGGTGAATGTTTTCATATAAAATGTTTAGCATTATACCTCTGACAGTGTAGGTGCAACTCATGGGAACTGGAGTAAGATCAGAGGGGCATAAAATCTAATGGCACTCAGACGAAGGCCGATGTTGTTTTACTGTTGGGAGCATCAAGCACCTAAGGACAAAGGGAATGGATAATGTGCTCAAATCCTAATTGTCTGGAACAACGTTTGCTCAAAGACTACAACCAAACATTACAAGTTTGGATTCTTTGGTTTAGAAAGGCTACATTAGAAAGGGGATAAGGCCTAAACCAGAGCTCACATTCCACAAGTGCAGAGCAGGAGATGGACTCAGAGTGTGTGGCTTTCACTGCAGCTCACATTGTTACAGCACAGATGTGGGGGCACAGGAATCTTTCAATTTGACCACACATGCATTCCGGTCTGAATGCTCAAATGCATCAAATTATCTTACATTTTTACATTAAAGCACACCTGTTTCATAGGTGTTCTACATGCCGGTGACACCAGACTTTAAACTCAACATTGAATGTTGTTGCTAGCTGAAAGCCCCACACAGCTACTAACAACAAATCCCCCATGAAATTCTAGAAATTCCGGCCTACTGTTTTGAATGATTATGAACCACACAGTGTATAATTTGATATTTTGCACTTATACACATTGTGAGCGTGAGATGAGAAAATTGCTGTCAGTCACAAGAACAAGCTGGAATCAAGCTCGACTTAAAACACTAAACTTGAGACTGATATCATGTGTATTTTCCAACCATGTTGCATAAGTCCTACTATATTTCTGCTCAGTAGATTTGTTAAATGAGTTCTGAATTTTGCTAAACGAGCTCACTGTTTGCAGTCTGTATGCTCTGAGTTTTTACTGAATTATTTGTTTTCTTTCCATACTTATGTTTCAAAGGGCTTCTTGTAAATGTTAGCAAAGTTACTGTGGTGACCAATATAACACTGATATAAATGACCAGATTTACCTATTGCCAGTTATCTGAAATTTTCTATAATCAACTCCTTGCTATTCACAGTGACTACAAAAAACTGTGTCCAGTGTAAGGGCAGATATTTCCTTGATGTGTTGCAGTGAGGAGCCACTGTCACCTGGAATATAATAGACAGCCCTGCCATTCAAATGTGCATTATATGCAAAGACATAAATCTTCACCTGCTTTCCCTTGGGGCCTCTGGGGCCAGCTGGTCCATTAGCACCCTAGGAAAGACCATTAGCACAGTATCAGTATATTTGTAGCAATAGTTGTAATAGCAAATAAATAAATAAAAAACACAAAACCTACTTGTTCTCCCTTTTTACCGGGGGCACCACATTCACCCTTTTCTCCCTACAAAAAGCAGCCAGTTAGGGTACAGGTAAATAAAACGTAAAGCAACATCTTTCTAGTCTGGGCACTGAACCAAGTCAAACTGCCTTACACTGCAGCTCTGCAGGCTTTGTTGCATTCAAACTATGACAACTGACAATGTGTGTATTAATGATATTGCTTATTTTTATGATATTTACCTGCAGTGGTGAACCATCATAAATAAAAACTACCATTAAAGAATCAGAACAATAACATTTATATTGATACATTACATACCATTTCCCCTTTGATGCCAGGTCGACCCTATAAAAAGGGAAAGGGAAGGTAAGCTTGTATCAAACCGTAAACTGTCCATCAAACGTCATGCTAAAAGACAGTCTCAACCAATCAACATCAACATAGGACTATGTAAAGTACAGGTGGGAGCACAGGAGATTCCAAAGACTAAAACAGTGATATTCTGGCCACTGAGGGTGAGAGTGTAATGTCACCACACAGCCACTAGACGGCTTCTTTGTTTCCAAGTTTATCCTAGTGTTGTGTTTATGTTCTTAGAGCAAGAAAAACTGTTTGCCGTGTTAAGAGAAATCATGTCGCTAGAGAGTGAGAAACTCATGCTATGTATATCATTGAAAGATCATCGTCTGTAAGTACATAAGTTTATACTGCTTAACAATGTGCTTTATGTTTGATTGCAGTAACAGGGAAGTTAATTGCTGTAGAGCTAATCATATTTTATTTTCTTATTTCGTGGTTTTACCACTCATACTGTACATATCAATTCCTGGCACACTGTGCACCGAATGATAAGGAATAAAAAACCATTTAGTGCAATACATGTGTGGATGGGTTATCTGTCTGCCTAGCAAAGGAATCTTCAGAACGCTCCCAAGCAAGGGCAGAACAAGTGACAAGAACTTTTAAACAAACCCTTTAGAATTCCCTGCATAAATTTGCCCTTAAATATAATCAGATCCTCACCTAAGTTACAATAATGAATTAACTTAATAAACCTAATAACAGATCAGTGTATTATTCTTGTCCATATTGAATAAGTCATTAGAACATTCACAGTGGAGGTTGGAAAGAGTACGTGGCCCTCAGCTAACTGGAGTTAATGGACAGTGAGACCAGATTGGAGATGTGGGTTAGAGCTACTTTGTGTAAATATGGAAATGGCTACAAAGTAATTTCAAAGATCTTAGATATTCACCACTACAGTACAATTTGGCAAATTGTCCGAAAATTGAGATAATTTAGTACCATGGTAACTGTCCCTAAAAGAGGGCGCCCAGCTAAGGTGGTGCTGAGGTCTACATACAGAAATCATGATGCATGGCTGCACAAAGGGGCAGAGGTCACTAAAGCAGTGCTGGCCTTTGACAATCCAGTATCAGAAATGACCAAGAGGCCATGAGACAGATTGTCTCTTTACAACTAGAAGTCCCACAGGAACAACAAGAGTATTTGCAAGAAATGCTAGAATGCCCACTGTTGAAGGAGGCAGAGTCCAAAAAGACAATGGACAAGCCAGAAAAAGATGGGAAGGTGTTACTCGACTCGAAGGAAAGCACACCAGTGACAAAAACAATCCTGGTGCAGGAAGAAGAGTATATGGAGGAGTTGACAGTAAACTTGTATTCTCCCATCAAACCTGGACCGATGGAGGAGGAAATGGTAGCCCTTTGGGAAGAAGAGAATGAAAAAATGGAGAAAAATGCAGAATATTTGGTCATGGATGAGTGCAAGGAAGAACTGGATTTCGAGGAGAAAGAGAAAAGCAGCCAGAGGGGTTGGAAAAGAGAAGAATAATTAAAGAGCAACAGCTAAAGTAGGAAATTAAGATACTTAGTAACAATAATCATGAGGCTTTATGTTTTCTTTGTTTACAACAAGTAGTATTCAAATATGTACAGCTAAAATGAGAAATGATTGTACTGAAAGATTAATGAAAGTGATTTTATATTTAGAGTGTAAAGTTAGGTAAAGTAGTCAGCTATTTACTTATTACATCATATATACTGTAACTTGAGCGTATTATTTTGAGAAATGAACCAATGTCGGCTAAATACTGTGCAAAGCAAACATGGTCCTAAGTGGCCAGTGTCACAGCTTTTATTGGTTATTTCAGACAAAACTCCACACTTCCTCAAAGAGCCAGAGTATACTGGTTCCTAAAACTTCTCAATAGAATGGCATCTGAAGGTATAAGGAGGTAGCTGCCCATAACTGCAGGTTATTGTTTGGGAGGATTTGGGGTCTTGTCCTGAATTAATGACATGTAAGAGGGAGGTCTGCAGGGAACTCTGTTCGCAGGTTCATAGTCATCAGTTACTGAGTGAATATCTCTGCCAAGAACCTAAAGCAGTGTTTGGAGCTTTAATATGGTTCAAATATGCCACCTTAGTGCGAGAGGTTAAGCTGTGTTCCTGTGTCCAGGGGTTAGCATATCGTGGCCTTCAAACAGAGCACCTTGACAATTTCTTCACTATGAATAGTAAAATGCTCTAATAATAGGTTCAGTATAATCCCTTCAGAGCTCCCACCATGCTTCTCAAAACAGAATGTTACAGTATGTAACATGTAATCAAATTGAAAGGACAGTTTGAAAACCCTGTAAATATTTCATGATTACCTCAAGCCCCTCCATTCCTGGACGTCCGTTAATGCCAGATTCCCCCTACAGTGACCCGGCACAGACAAAACAGTATGTCAAACAATTCATTTCAATGTCAGTGTCATAAAGCACATTTAAAACAACATGAGTTTGCCAAAGTGCTGTACATGGTGAAATAAGGTAAAAACATAAAAGGAAAAAAGAAAGGTACCACATCTCTTTTCATCGGTACATATACCGTTTACCTATTTATGGAAGAGAAGTTCACATTAATTAATATTATTAATGCTTTAGACACAACACGGGCACCAGGAGTTGTGCACATTCATGTACTATCCTCTCGTTTTTAGGAAGAGGCTCTCTGGTTTTATTGTTCTGAATTAATTACAGACTATTTGGAATTATGATGGGTCCAAAGCTAATCTAGATGGAGCCATTAAACATTTAATGGCTGGTAATGAGCAAAATGAGTAGCCTTGGGGACTTTAATTGATAGAAGCTTGAACTAACCACAGAGTTTGTTTGTCCAATTTAAGGGCATTGACAATTATAACACCCAGGTTTTTTTACGGTCGGTTTTTGATAGTTTAGAAACCCTAGGTTAAAAACTGTGATGTTACATGTACCACTTAAGCCAAAAATAACAAGTTCAGTTTTGTTTTCATTCAAAATTAGGAAGTTGGAGGCCATCCAAGCTCTAACTTCCAACAACATCAACATGAGCAGAACAGTGGAACAAAAATTCTCTGTTTTCTGATGATGAACCCTAAAGGGAGGATATAGAGAAGAAATAAAACTGGACCAGGGATGGAGTTTTGGGGGACACTGTAGGACAAAGGAACACTGGAAAACAAAGTCACCGAGGCTAACAGAAGAACTTTTGTTACATAAATAAGACCTAAACCAAGTTAGAGCAGTATCAGAAATTCCAATGGAATTTTCAAGGTGAGCCAAAAAAATAGTATGATCTACCATATCAAAGGCTGCTGAAAGGTCTGAAACCAAAGGAGCCACACAGTCACCTGTGTCACTACTTACAGTGTGAATAAATCCATAAAAGCTTTAAAAAGAGCACATCCAGTCCTATGAAGACTCTAAAACCACACTGAAACAACTCAAACATACCATGTCTGTCTAAGTAGGACTGAAGCCATACTAATACTACTTTTTCCAGGACTTTTGACAAAAAGGGAAGTTTAGACTTGGGTCTAAAATTTGAAAGTACAGAAGGATCCAAGTTTGTTTTTGTTTTTGTTTCTATTTGTGGCTGGAGACAGTATGTTGGAAAGCCAGGGGAACAATCCCAGACCCCAAACCCCAAATTAAAAAAAATTAAAATAAAGTATCCAATAGAGTTAAAAGCCTCCTTAAGAAAACAAGGGGAAATAATATCAGAGTGTTTAAGGTTAAAAATAGTTTCTTAAAAAAAGAAAGGGATACTGGCTCAAACTGTATGAATGGACTCAAACAAGAGAACAACAATTTGCCTTCTGATATTCAAAACCTCAACAAAAAAGTTAAGGAATTTTCAGATATGTCATCTTTAGGAAAAACTTGGAGGGGTTTAGAACATTATTTATGGCATTGAATAATAATAATAATATATTCGTGGTCTCTTTCTTTTACCAGTTCTGGAGACAATAGAGACTTACACGAGATCCCTTTGGGCCTGGCACTCCGTCAGACCCTGGCTCCCCTGGTTTCCCCTAGATGAAAGTAAAAGGGGAGATTGTGCAGAATAATAATTTTTGGGCCATTTTCCTTTTTGGACTCTATGTACAGTGGGTACGGAAAGTATTCAGACCCCCTTAAATTTTTCACTCTTTGTTATATTGCAGCCATATGCTAAAATCATTTAAGTTCATTTTTTCCTCATTAATGTACACACAGCACCCCATATTGACAGAAAAACACA